ACCCCCGCATCCAACTCCTGTAATCAAGAATCCTCATACAATCTTTTCATTACTTTTCATCACGTGCTGTGTTGTTTATTTGTTCAATAGTAAACTATTTTTTTGAACCGTGTGATACCAGTAAACTGCGCACTACGTCTAATTTGAACCTTAGTCGGCCTTACATGGGGGCCGAACCGTTTTAGACTGTGCAAGTCGAGTTGGTATCATCCAGTGAGGGGACGGCACAGGACCCTACGGGATCTGAGAAATCTGCGATTGTAAGGACCAACATTGGTCTCAAGGATCAGTTGTGATCTCAGCGGTAGAGCCCATCGGTTGGAACACCCGGAAGAACGCTGGACGGGAGCCAACCAATAGAGGGAAAGTGGTAACCAGATCAGTACCTTTCGGTAGATCATCTAGAACATTTCGCGATCTTGCCGTTTTTATTCGTTCGGAACGTCGTTGGTCGTTGTTGTACGGCGTATTTCAGGATTTCTCTTTTGCAGAATCGAGTGTAAATGATGGAAGCTGAAAGGATGGAGGAAAACCATTCGCCCAAAGAGGTGAGCTACGTCAATCTGAGTGATGGCGTGGAAGGTGAATGGAAAGGCTATGTGCGCATCTTGAATGAGGCGCAACAAAGAATTAGCGAGATTTTGGGAGACTCGAGAGTGTCGAAGCAGGCCAGGTCAGGAAGTCGAAGTTGTGTGGACTTGGGCAAAAGAGGAAATGGAAAGAGTTTGGAAGCAGAGCCAGAAAGAGGGAGGTGTTGTCTCCGTTGCTGAAGAAAGAGATCACGGAAACGTTAGCTCGAAGAGGGATCGAATGCGTGGATGATTGGAAAGAGTATGTGAGAACAATGGAACAGGACGGCGAAGTCATGGCAGAACTGTGTGAAATATTGAACACTGATGTGTTTCAGGTTAAACAAGGAAGTGTCGGCTCTCCAGCAGCTTAGAGATAAGGAGGTACCCAGTCGAGGTAGGACTGACTCTTTGAATAGAGGAATTATTGGATCGCAGACCAGTCAATTGCAGAGGATGCGTTCGACTAGGACAGACGTCTGCAGATCACTCGAGGCGACATTCGCTGTATCGGACAACTACGCCACCGGTGGACGAAGGTGCGTCAGTATCAGATCAATTAACAATGTACCTGAGGGCAATGGCCTGTACGGACCCTGGTGTGTATAGGGGAGCGAGGAATGAGAATTTTAACGAATTCGTACGACGGTTTAAGCGAAAGTACGAGGGAGTAGTAAAGTGTGAAGCGACTCTTACTAGAAATCTTGTGTGATGACCACTTAGGTGGAAGAGCAAAGAATATATACAAGGCTCTGCCAAGGCTAGTGAAGGACCAGGGATTCGAGATGGTTATAAAGGAGATGTCTAGACTGCTAGCACAAGAGTCCACGGCGGGTAGGCTGAGGGCTTTGACGGAGTTACGAGAGCTGAAAATTAGACCCAATCAGGACGTGGCGGATTTCTGCGTAGTACTAGAGAATCTCGGCCAGCAGGCATTCCCAGAGGGGAACGCAGAGGATCGGTCGTTGGAATATGCTCAGATCCTCTTGAGCAACCTCGGTGATTGGCCCGAACACTTTCAGTTAGTTGGTGCTCTGCATAAGGTGCAACCTTATATGGCACACGATGAGGTTAAGCAACTGCCCTTAAGTATAGAACAGTCAAAGCTCATGCTGGGTGTGAACAGCAATGTCGGCAAGATGAGCTGGAGAAATAGGTCCGCGCAGTATTGTTGTGTTAGCGAAGAAGAAAGTTTGGACCGTGCGAGACCGTGGGCGAGACAGGAGCCATGTAGAAGAGATCCATGTCTAGCAGACGGCTGTGGATATCAGCCTGGAGCACAGATGTCGCCTCCTAATGACAGAGTTGCCACAAGAACTAGTGGTAGCGAAGCGAGGAAGTGCTACACTTGTTCCAAGTATGGGCACATAAGTCGCGATTGTCCGCAGCGGACTACTAGAGTAACTCAGATCAAGCACAAACGACAGACCCAGAGAAAGAAAAAGGTACATTGTCGAGTATAATCAACAAGGCGCGTGGCTTAGGGATAGCGGTGAAAAGACGGAAACTGGTATAAAGTACCTTAATTGGAGATCGGATCATGGCATCAGTGAGCCTGCTCAATAGGACAAACCCAGCACTGATCGATACTGTTGCTTCATCACCGGTTACTAGTACCTTGTTAGGAAAGCCTTCATGTCACCATTATTCCGCAATTCGTTCTCTGCGGTTTAAGGCCACCTGATCAAATTCTGACCTTCTCCTGCCGTCAATTTTGTTTGGAACTCATCCTCCTGACAAACTGAGTGCTGCACACTGTCTCAGTTGAATTGTAGTTGATTTAATTTTTTTTTTGTTATTTGAGTTTGTCTTATTTAGTTTGTTTTATTTTCCTTAGTTTCGATACGGCCAACGATTAGCTCTTGAGTTGTTTTCTTCTGATTATTTTACTTAATCCTGATAACTTTGTGTCTTTCTCCATTACCACATGTATCGACACTGGGCGAGGCTGTTTCATGTTTTACGCATAGATACACTAAATAAGATAAATTTTGATCAATCACAATTAGATTTGTGTCAAAGGCCACAGGGTCTCTTTTGGCGCTGTTTACAACGTATGTCGCTCATTAACTTGGTCCTAATATTAAACTCACAGTACTCTGATCCATTTCTTGATATATATTGATAAGTATAAATACGCTGGAGGATCATACGGAAACGAGGATGGTATATTTCACATGGTGAACCATGATTTAATAAGTAACTCCTTAAGGATACACATGCTGCAGGCGCGTGCTCTACATACTACTTACCCGTAGTGGGTAAGAATATGTTTTAGAAGCATGAGTTCAGCTCTTTTTCTGGATTATCAATTGAACGATGAGCTAACGGCAAGATGTATGAGTCCTCGCATCAATACTATTCCTATACTACGCCGTAAGTTTCGCTTTTCAGCTCATCAACGCCTCTTAAATGTTTTACCGCAAGGTATTTTTCTATTAACTAGTAAGCAGGCAGTATAATATTGATGCTACTCATCATTCAGTGTTAATTCAGGAACAACATTATGCCTTACGCTGACAATCCACATTCCAGAACGCTCAGGTATATCGAAAAGTTTGATGTATTCGTAAAGTCCTTCATTCCTTACACAGTCATACACTACATGTTAATTCAACTTAAAGGCGTGTATATCATAAAAATACTGCTGTGTCGAGCACTGTACACATAAGTCAGTTATTGTAATTTGAACTAGCTGAACTGAATTGTGATGTTTAACTTGGATAGTCA